CCAGTTATTAAGGCTTAAGAGAGAGAGGGCAGGCTTAGAGAGGGAGGGAGCACCTAATGCAAACCAGTTATTAGGGCTCAAGAGAGAGAGGAAATGCTTAGAGAGGGAGGGAGCACCGTGTGCAAACCGGTTATTATGGCTCAAGAAGAGAGAGATATGCTTGCAAAAAAATTTGGTTTTTATTATTAGGTCTTCTTGGGTTATCATTGTTGATTTTTCGTTTTTGGGTGCTTCTCTCTTTGTCGCTCACTAGAATTTTTCTTTTGATAGTACCGAGTGTGTCACTTTGAAAGATTTATTTTGGTCTCTCTCTATGTGTCTAAATTATAATGGTTATTGGGTTTTTGAGAACTGGACATGGGTTGGAAGTACCAAGCATGGTTGTGTTTGATAGATACAATTGTTTTCATATGGGTTACATTTGCAGAAATCACATAGGTTTGCTTCTAACTCTCTCTCTAACCCAACTCCTCTCTCGAACCCAACTATCTCTCTTTAACCCAACTCTTTCTCTCCCTCTATTGCCTCTCTTTCTCGGTTTGCTTCTAACCCAACCCTCTCTCTCTAACCCAACTCTCCCTCTAGCGCCTCTCTCTAACCCAACTATCTCTCTTTAACCGAACTCTTTCTCTCCCTCTTTTGCCTTTCTTTCTCTCTCGTGTGAAAATTTTGGACATTTCAGTTTTTGAATAACCCAATTCGGTTCCATTTCGATTTTCTAAAAACCGAAAATGGGCATTTTCGTTTTTTTTTTTAAATATTTTAGGATGGTGAAGATACGGGTATAGGTATAATAACAGAAACTTGGAGGTAATCCCGTAATAACGGTAAATATAATGGATATATATATTATTTTCGGGAAAATAATATAATATACTATACTGCTTTTCCTATATAGTATAATATACTATAGTATAATATAATAAATAAATTTATTTTATCTTTGCATATATAGTATAATATATTACATATAATAAATTTTAATATTATAGTACTAAATTATATGTTATTTTATACATTGTATATTATTAATATGATATCATTAATATTTGTTATGAAAAAATTATAATATCATTAGTATTAGTTAATATAACTATTAATATTTACCCAAAAAATATTAGTTAATATTACTAACCATAATGTCATCGCGTGTTAAAAGAATATGCTTCGTAGGTTTGTGAGGCATGGTATCATGTTCGCTAAAAGTAAAAATCTCAGTGATCCTATTGGTTTTTTTTTTATATAAAATTTTATTTGATATTCATATTTATTGAAATCAATAAAAATTTTTTTCTGGGTAAAGTTTTCATTCGGAGCGTTTTCCCAAAAGGTTTAATGAAATAATAGATGCCATGTGGTTCACTAGAACATCCCTGTTTTCTAAATTAAACGAGAGTTTTTATGCCGTGCCACCAGAACTTTTTTTATAGTCATTTTTTTTTTCCGAATATCTTATTGATGGTCCCACTGATCTATGGAGCATTTTGCAAAATGTCGGCCATACAAAAATTTAAGGGGCAAGGCGGCGTAAAGACTCTCCTTTAACTTAGAGAAGATGGATGCTATGGTGAGCCACATGGTATCTGTTATTTATTTAGACATTTGGGAAAATTCTTCGCAATGAAAGTTTCACTGACAATAAATTTTTTATCGATTTTATTTAAAAATTTAATACACATTACTAACAATGAAATTATAAACCCATAGGATAACCAAGATTTTTATTTTTTGGTGAACATCATACGAGCCTCTCGAACCTACAAAGCGATATTCTTTTGACACGTGATGACATTATGGTTAGTAATATCAACGATATTGTAAATTTGTAATGCTAATGATGATGATAATAATAATAAATTATTTGTAACATAATATATAATCTACTATTATAATATTAACGTTAATAATAAATTATATATAACATAATATATAATCTACTATTATAATATTAATGTTTTGTACTATGATATTATTATACTATATGTTACATGATATAATATTATGATATTATAGTATATTATAATATAGTATATTGTATTATATATAAGATAAGACTTCACGTGAAGAAGCTTAACTCCACCTAATATAGGTGAACCCTTGGCCATAAATTATGCATTTAATCTCACGTGTTAAACTTATAAAAAAAGGCTTGTGAGTAAGAAATTCTATTTTTTGATTTATCAAAAAGTTGAATTTTTTGTTTCTTAAATAATAATTTAAATATTTATTGTCTTTGAGAGTAGATAGACTTGTGTGACCATCCTTCGAGTATTCGGCATAATTTGTCGGCTATAATGAAATTTCGGTGGTAAGGTGGTATAAAGGCTCTCATTTAATTTAGAAAAAATAGTTGTTCTGATGAACCACATGGTATCTATTATTTATCTAGACCTTCAGGGAAACTTTCACCAATAAATATTTTATTGATTTTAAAAAAAGGTGAGTATCAAATAAAATTTTATATAAAAATATAATACACCATAGTAACAATGAATCTATAAATGATCACCAAGATATTTACCTTTTAGCAACCTCAAACCGAGCCTCTCAAACCTAAGAAGCGATATTTTTTACATGCAAAACTGGCGTTTTATATATACTATACATATAGATATATACACACGTTCGCACACACAGAGAGAGAGAGAGAGAGAGATGCAAGGCAAAAAGATTATTAATGAGAGAGAGAGAGAGAGAGAGAGAGAGAGAGAGATGACAAAGGAAAAAGATTATTAATGGCATATCATGACTTCTTGAAGTGGCCTATGATGGTGGGGCTGCTGTAGTTGTCTTCTCTTGTGTTACTTGGGCATATTTCATAAGTTCACCTGTATTATGTCTCCATCGTGTGATCAATGCTGACTTAAATGGCTAATTTCAACTGTAATTTTGGACAATGTTGTTTGGAACTCAATCATAAATCTATTTGAAGCACAACATTTCAGTTGTGAATTTAAAATAACTTAATGGGGTTTTGCGAATGTCTGAAATTACTTTATATGGTGTAAAGATTATACCTGCATATCATCAGCTGACTTCATCTTGTGTAGAAAAGGAATATACTGTCATATGATGTTCTAATATTAGGGAATCTATTGGTAAGGAAGTGATGTGAACAATTCTTGGCTTGAGTGAAGGGAGGGCAGTCGAAAGGATGAAAAGAAGCGAATATGTCTATTTTTTTATGTGCGTGTTTGCATGCTTGTGCATTTTGTTCATGCATGTGAGTGGACATAATTGTGCTTGTGTCCTTTTTTTGCACGTACATTGATGTTTGAATATGTGGCTGATAGGTTTTGACATGCGTGTCTGCATGTCTACTTTGGATCTGCTATTGTGTGCGCATAAATGCTTCTGCATGCACATAAGTCTACGTGCATTTTGCATATATGTGCATGTGCTCCCTGCATGTTCTTTTGTACTTGCTGCATCCTTTATTTTGTATCTTGAGCTACACTGAGCCTTGATATCTATAACGACTTAAAGAGATTCATCATGATGCATTGGATTTTCAACATCGTTTTTGTTATTATCCTAAATTTGTAACTGTCCATGATTGTCCTCCTTTTGCTTCTAGGGGGCATTGTAATTGGGTACTAGATTGGTAACATTGTGTGCATGATTGTGATGCCTTATCCAAGTGAACATCTAATGGTCAAAAGGCAGAATTTTGTGAAGAGAGTTCTGAAATAATCTGTTCTACAATCTTGGCTTCTGAACCTTACTTGTTCCCCCTGAACTCTCCTCGGGAATTTCTATACATGCTTCACTATTATCAATACTCTTGGGTGGCAATGTCAGATGACTGGTGGTGATGCGTTCCGCAATGTCAGCCTTAGGTTATTTGTATCTTTTATTTTTATTTTATTTATGCTGAGTAACAATCTGGCTCTTCAATGTAAAAGAAAGTGTACATTAAGATTTATGGCAACTGCACAGGATTGGGACATAGTGACATCTAGAAAGAAAATGGGTATGATGACTTCTAAAATAAGTTTCTTAACCATGCTCTTGCCATGAATCAAGGTCTTGCTAGCCTTTCCAAGGACATGGTCATAGGTTAATGTCAGACTCAGCATTTAATGCTTAATATGAAGGTTATCTGTGGCGCTCATAATAATTAAATTTGAATGTTCGATTGTTTCTTTATTGGTTACTGGTTTAATTTGTAAATACTTCATCATGGTTAGCAATCAAACACGAGTTTCAATAATGACTTGGCCTCATCTATATGTGAGTGGTGCGTGCATTGCATGTTCACATGGGCACTTATATAGATTTTGAGGAGCATTTTCTGTGTGGCTATTCTTGCTTGGGTCATTGCCTCATTTCACCCTTATGTCTATATGTTTGTTTGATTCTTGTTTGCTGGTCATTCCTCTCAGACTTCAGATCAAGTTAATAGCTGTTATAATGACTTTTTAGCTGTTTTATTTCTTGATATGATATGGCTAATTGCATAATTTCTCTTTTCTACTTTGTCTTATGAAGCGAAGGGTGTTCTACATGTGTTTTTTGTGCTCACATCTAAAGGTTCAAAGGGGCTCTCCTCTGAGAAAAGAATTTAAATGTGTCACTTTTCTGGTTTCTTTTTTTTTGAGGTAAAACTATCTGAACTTCAGTTCTGTGATCAAATGAACAAATATTCCTAGGCCTTGAACTACATAGGACATTCTGTCTAAACTAAGTTTCCAGAACAAGCTAGAGAAAAATCTGATATGTGAGATTAATGCTTGACCTGATCGTTCACATTCCATTGTATTATACTTATGGAGCCTTTTTTGGTAAATTACTCTTTACCATGTAAAGTTTACTTGTCATTTTAGACCAATGCTCGTAAGCTAAAACTCTTAATCTTATATTGTGTATTTGCAGGCTGGATATGATTGTCGTGTTTTGTGGACTGTATATCATTCTACTTTAGATCTTGATCTTTGTTCTCATTTCCTGTTCCATTTCTTTGGTTCTAATTGAAATCTTTCTTCCTATCTATCTCCCAGACTGACGGCAGTGTTCCAAATACGTTGGTCATAGCAAATTGTGAAGTTGTTAAACCAAGGGTAGCAGCTGCAGAACACATATCACAGGTTATAATATAAATATTAGCCATGCTGGTTTCTTGTTGTTTCTATATTGGCTCTCTTATGGGGATCAATTTGATGTTTTTGCAATTTTAATTATGAAAGACCTACCGGTCTTAGTTGATTATAACTTTTTTCATAATTACTAGAAGTTTTTTCTATCCTTTATGTTTAAGAAAAGCTAGGTAATGAATGAATTTATCAGTTTGTACTTTGTACTAAAATGACATCTTCAACTATGACAAGTAAAAGAAAACTTTAGTTGTAGAGGGTCTAGTTTGGATAAGATTGCTATTTTAAAGGATCCAATTAAGCCTGCACCTCTAAATTTTATCATAAATGTAATTTTGGTATAAAAAATTCTTAGGATGGGTTGAGAATCTATTTTCATCTCTAGTTATAGAATTTTAAAATCTAAAAATGGTTCAAATTGAATATATCTATAAACAAATGAAAATCTTTAAAATGAACGGTCAAGATAATGTTTTGCAAGATACACTATTTCTCAAACTCAAATATTTTTTTTGTTTCATATTCATACCTCTCGATGTGCAGATGATCAATTGTAGAGTTTTCCAACATCAAAACAACCTTTTCTGATGGATTTTGAGTTGCACCTGAAATCTATATTTTAAGGTTGCAACCTTATATAAACGTTTGCCATTTTTTGAAAGTTAACTGATTCGTATTTCACAAAGAAATTGATGTACAAGTGTAGTTTCAATTATAAAAGTTAATCATGTGAAAGTAACAATCAAGGAAAGATCTAGAATTCCTTCCCTCGTCAAGGCTTCTGCTTCTTCATTTGCCTCTCACCACACGTGCTTTGATAATACCATGAGGATGCTTGTGTGTTCCCAGATTTCCTCAAAAATCTTGTGTAACTTTAATCTTAAAAGGAGGTTCTTTGTGACTATCCTAGTTAATGACATGGTTAGAATCACTCCAAATTGATGATATTAGTTCACTTTGTGTCTACGTTTTGGTGACAAACGACCATGTCTCGCTTCATTAGAATTACAAATTTGAAGTGGGCAGAGTATGTCATTAGTATTTTGCTTTGATGCGGCGATGCGACTTGATGCGGTCCTGATGCGAGTCCATCACCTCTAATGCAGTTGATAAATTTAAAAAATTCTAGAAATAAAAAACAAATAATAATGCAATAAAATAAATAAATAAATGTGGTTTATATGATTAAAGTATTTTAGTTTATTCAATATAACTATAGCACTATTAGTTGTCTATGACTTTCAGTCCTTTGATAGCCTGATAAAGAGCTTGTTCTTCTAGGTTCTAATCGTTAATTGTTCACATGTCTAGCACAATTAACATGTAAAACAAAGCAATGCATTCCATCTCTATCCAAAATTCCAAACATTAACTCCAAATAGGCGAAGACTAAAAGTTTATGACATGAAAGAAAAAGATAACTCTCAACTCTCTATGAGACAAGTCATCAAATACTTGAATCTAATCTATCATTTTTTTTTGTTTCATTTTGTTCTTTTCTTTTGTTTGTCATTGGCTATCTATATTCCCTAATCTCTCTTACAATCTTGTTGGTTGCTTGTGGGCATACTATAACATTCTCGGTAATACTGGCTAGGTGTTCCTTTTGCCAGAAGATAGCCCCCATATAAAGTATTCCCACATAGAGTACAAATAATTAGGGTTTTAGCATATTTCCATGGCAGATTCTTGTTAAGACATTGACCCAAGTAAAACTTACCAAACAACCCAAAGAAATTTTGATATGGGTGGTGCGGTAATGCAAGCGATGCAAGCGATGCAAGCAATGTGGCCGCATATGCTTGATGCTCTGCATATGCGTCCACATCACATTTTTCCCTATACGTGTCTTGGAACGATGTGCTTCGTGTGGCATAATGCATTATGTGGTTGGGGTTATAGGAAAATTAAATTCAAAATTTGCATTTTTGAAAATCATAGATTCCTGATCTAGATTTTTGTTTTCTCCTATTTGATGACCTATTTGAAAATTCATGGATTCCTTCAAGCACCATTTCCATTGTTTGGCAATCACATTGATTTCATCAAATCTGTTGAGCATTTTGTCAAACATTTTGTTTGCAATACCAATTGATAATGTGTAACTAAAATTCATGAATATGTATCCTCCCTTCCAATGATGCAAAGAAGGGAAATCTAGACAGAGAAAAACTTTCCTTATACTCGCAATTGAAGATTTTGTTTTTGGGGTGGGTTAGTGGAGTTGCCAGTGATCAAATCTCAGTTACTCAGAGATACTCATCATCAAAGTATCTTCCTTTCTTTAAACATGTCTGATAAGTACTATCCTAAATTACAAAAAAAAAGAGGCCAATGGCGCAACTATAAATTCTTATAAATAATAAAAGACATCCTTCAGGTTCACTATTAAGGTGGAGGTTTGCTTGTAGGAGAAAAAAACCAATCAAGATTCCAAAATATTGCACCAAGAAACTTCATATAAGATTGAAATCCCAAAAAGATGTAAGCTTTGGGAACTTTGACATAAAGCGAGAAACTGTAAAGCATGCTGTGCCAATTTTTGGATGGCAAAAAGGAACTATCTAAATCTATGGATGACTTGCGACAAATCAGAGGGTTTCAGATGAACTTGTAGAATCCTGTTTGTTTGGAAAAAAATCTGTGCTGCATCTTGATACTTGAGCATCCCATTTTATGCATTATGGATTACGACAGTGTCGATTTTTCAGGAGTAAAAATTCTTCTATCCATATCTTTGACATCCTCTTTCTATTGTTGAAGATTTGTGTCTGAAGTTGTTAAATCTTGAATCTAGACTGTAAAGTGGGTGAAGACATGGAGCACAGGACTGTCTTTCATACTTTTCTCATGCAGACATCAATCTTCTTTCCAATTTTCATGGCTAGAGATGTGCTTCTGTATGTTCAACTTTGATGCTTTCTAGCGCTGTTTAAGGTGCTGGGATACATGATGTGGTTTATGAAACAGATGCAGCAGTTCATTTCTTGCTCTTTGAATTGTGCTATGCATGTGGATAATCTTCTGTTTCTTTTCAAATTGATGGCTTTGATTATTGTACGGGACTATTGTGGCAAGCTTGTCCTTAAATAATTCCTTGCAGTTCAATGAAGAAGCACGGTCTCCCTTTGTGAAGAAGTTTAAGACCATTATACATCCTGGGGAGGTATGAAATTACTGCATGGATTCCAGCTTCTATTTTCTCTTTCTCTAGGAAAACCGGGCTCATTGTTACATCAGTTTTTAACATTGGATGCTCGTTATAGTTTTTAATCTCATTTACAACGTGGTGCTTCCATCAATCCTTCAAATTGGCATGGACCTTTATGAGTTTTGAAGATGGAAACCTAAAAGTTTGCTTCTGATGTAAACTTGTGGAACCTCTTCAGGTAAACAGAATCAGGGAATTGCCTCAGAACAGTAAGATTGTCGCCACTCACACAGACAGTCCAGATGTATGTATATCTTTACATATACGCTTGAACCGTTCAGGGATTTTTAAGCATGATTTCTTGAAGTTTGTGGCTGGCCTTTCCTTTTTTTTTTTCAGGTTCTTATTTGGGATGTTGAGGCGCAGCCTAATCGTCATGCTATACTTGGAGCATCAGATTCTCGGCCAGATCTGGTCTGCTCTATGTTTCGAATTCAAAAATCATTTGCAGTAACCAGATTTTCTCCTATGTAATCTGGATATATTGCAAACTGTTCCGAATATTGTTTTTACTATATATGACCGGCATGGAGATGTGAGGAACTATAATAATTACCCCAGAAATTATCCTAAAGAATCCTCCTTTCGGATTATTTTATGTAACCCTATGGAACCACGCCACATCTGTCAAGAAGTCATTTTTTGCAAATCACCCAGCAGGTTTTAAAAGTTTCTGGAAGTCTGTAAGGTTTTTTTTAAGTTCCTACTTCAGCTGGAGGTTTGGATATTTCCCCAAATCTTGTTGCATGTGATTTTTGACATCTGATTAAATTGATAATGAGAAGGTTTGTAGAGGTTTTTCTTGCTTTTTGAATCTTTAATCCTTCCAAAGATATGTTACAATCAACAAGACCCAATAAGATATCTTAGTGGAAAGCAAGTATTATGCATTTAAGGAAACCGGTTTTTTGTGGGGAAGTCATATTCAGCCTTTATTTACTATGGAAGGTGTACTTGTAGATTTTGACAGGACACAAGGACAATGCAGAGTTTGCACTTGCCATGTGCCCTACTGACCCTTATGTGCTCTCTGGAGGTCAGAATTTTGCTTTTATTGTTTTTCATGAGTTTGTTAATGCAGTCTTTTGGTACCTCTGTTTACTTCATGAGGTGTCATTTCAGATTATCGATCTGTATACTTGCATTGTGTTTTGAATGTTTATTGCCATGCTTTATATCGAAAAGAACCAAAATACTCTTGAGTGCCATAGTATTAGGCTTGAATGTTGAGGTGCATTGTCAAAAAAATAAAAATAAAAAAAGAATTGGAGGCTCATCGCCTTGGGCAAGGCAGCGCCAAAAGCAAAGGGGGCTCTAGGTGCCCTTCTTGGTGGGTGCCTTGGCGCACCAGAGCAAAGGAAGAGGGAGCTGCTTGATGTGATTTGTGAGGTACAAAAGGGAAAAGAGCACTGCTTTTGACATGATTTGCAAGCTAGAAAGAGACTGGGAGTATGGTGATCTATTACAAGAGACCAAAAAAATGGAAAGGAAAAAGGAAACATAAACAAAGAAAAGAAAAAAGGGGAAAAAAAGAACACCCTCCGCTACAAATGGTCTTTAGCTGGGATTCCTAGGTCATGAGCCTCCTGTTTTAGGTGAGCAAGGTGCCACCTCCGCATTTTTTTGAACACTGTCAAGATGAGGAGTCACGTATTTTCAGAATTCAAGTTACATAGGAGATGTTATATGTCCTTGTAACTGGTAGCCCATGACAACATCCTGGTGACAGAATCATCTCCAGCATTTTATGAAAACCTGTTTAAATAAGGGAAAGTCCAGCTCGACCTAACTGCTTCTTGAGCTGAAATGGAGGTATTGGGATGTGGATATATAAATAATGCATTGTACTATGAATGTTAATGTCTTGTGAGATGGTCCACTTAATCTTTGTTGGCCAAATTAGGCTACTTCTTTTCTGTTGGCCAACCTTCTGCATTTCACGGGGATCTCCCTATGTTTTCTATTTGTTTCTTTTTGTAATTGCCTTCTCTTGGCATTACATGATGCTTTATGATGTAGCCCTCTGCAAGGCATGTGAGAATTCTAGCTGTTACCTACTGTTTTTTGGCTTATACCGCTTTTCCTGGAAAAATTACTGCCATCCATAAATTCGTCAATACAGAGAATGGCGGATGGATGTTAGAACTGATTTTATGGGATGGCTCCATTTTGCTTGGCTTGTATGTTATGCTTGTGTCATGTTCTTGAAGAATTCTGTTCTTTCCTCCTAGAGTTTCGTGTGACAAAAGGGTTTTGTATCAGGCAAAGACAAGTCCGTGGTGTTATGGAGTATCGAGGATCATATATCTGCTGCTGCTGCAGAAGCACCATCGACAAAATCTCCAGGGGTGCCATCCAGTAGTGGCAGTAAGTCGAATACCAAGACCGTAGGCCCCAGTGACAAAATTCTGGATAGCCCAGCTATTGGGCCAAGGGGCATCTACAAAGGGCACAGTGATACTGTTGAAGATGTGCAGTTCTGTCCATCAAGGTAGTTGGACCTTCTCTGTATATAATTTTTTAGTTTTCCAAAAGTTTCATGAACCAATGTAATCTCCTCTGGGGATTTTACATGTATTTATCAGGTACTATTTTTAACTCTTCTACCTGTCCTTGTGATCTTCTCAAATGCCTTTTTACTTATCATCCAACCATATTTCTTGCTTTTGGTTGTGCCATTGAGCTGCATTTTTTCACCACCAGCATTGTCCTTATTCATGTTCACATGATGTTGCCAATGGATTTTTGATGAATGCTTGAAAGTTTGTATATGTTGTGTCAGCTGTGTGGTTTTTCACCTTATGATAAATTTGGTGTCCTACATGGATGATGGCACTTCTGTAATGTGTCACGTGCTATTTTTGAATCTAAGTTATGCTTTTCATTCTTCTTGCTCTCCCTTTCCTAGAACTGTTTGATACTATCTTTTATCATTGCCCATGCCGATACAGAGATTTTTATTATAGAAATCTAAACCACGTTCATATCCACACTGTTATTGCTTGTGTGGTCCCTCAAAGTGATATCTATGCCTTATTTTGTTTTGCATAGGTGTTACTCAGGATAAACATGATTAAATATTTCCAGATGTGTTAATTGAACAAGAATAAAATTGCTCTTTGAATGTGGTTTCTGACTAATAGTTTTGCACTTCATTGGTGATGAAGTGCACAAGAATTTTGCAGTGTTGGTGATGATTCCTGCCTTATATTATGGGATGCTCGAATAGGCGTGGATCCGGCCATCAAGGTAACTTGTATATTCATGTTATCTTTCTTCATGTACCCAGAGCATCTCACAGTTGTTGTGCCTTTGTCTTTATTTGGGAAAATTATGAGTAGCTGAAATGCCCAATGGTGCATCAGGATACTGTTGCCTAAATATGGATGGACAATCACTATGGACACTCAGCTAGTAACTTTGGATTTTACACCTTTTTAAGAATTTTCATTTGTTGGCAATGTTGAGGTTAGAGAATCAACACCCAGCCTTTTTGCTTCTAATGCTATGGAGTCTGAGTTATTGTGGAATGAAACATGGGGTTTTACCAATTTGTTCCAATTCTTTCTTTCCCTTGTTAGTTTCTATTTTTTTTATTACTTTTCTTAGTTTGTTTTTATCCTGTCTGCATGTTTTTTTTTGCTTTCTCACGAGGCACTTGAGAAGGAAGCTACTTATATTAAGGAAGCATATGCTAGTGACAGGATACCATGAGTTCTTGCCAGCATTAACTCTGTCAGTTTGGGTGTGCACTTCACTCTCCTGGCATCCTTGCGGCATGGCCATCCCCTCTTCTGGGGGTTTCTTCCATATTTGGTTCCATGGGTGGTTGTTTTGGTCCATCTGCACCATAGCAGCAACAGATTATCTCTTCTTTCTCCTAGATTTTCAATTTTGAGGAATCATTTGAGTTTATGGCTGCATTGGAATACTCAATCTTGCAGTCTCGGGAAAGTTATAATTTTATTTTAGCATGTGGAGATGCTTTCCTATGCTCACATTGACTACGTGGAATTCAAGAGTGTAAAATAAAAAAATTCTCTCTTTCTTTTATTAATTAATTTGAATTCTACTTGCATTTGCCACAATACCCTGTTGTAAATGAAAAAAAACCCTAAATTTAGCCTAGGACCTTTGCCTTGACTATCAAATTGAATAGACACAATCCAGGAAACAAAAGCAAGTGTCTACTAACAATTTCAATACATATAATGTTCTTGGAAATCCAAAAAAATATGCAGATATGACTGAAAAACAAATTCCAACAACCAAGAAGACCTACTCAAATGTACCTACGGTCACCCCCGTAGAACGTAATACACGTGCACTCGATTTCCTGACCAATGGTGCACTTCGATCCCATTGGCCTTGCAGAATTTTCTGATCTGGGAAGTTTTGCTATGCAATGCCTCATAAAGTAGGGTTTTAAGAGCATGAGAGAACTAGGGTTTCAAGACCCCTTATAATTCTATGGGGCATGTCACTGTGGCACCTCCCCTAAACCTATCTAGCGTAAGCGCTACCCCTTGAGCCTTAAGGGGCTGGCTTGCCATCTAGTGAGAAGGGAGAGAGAGTGAGAGCTCTAGAAAGATGAGAGATAGAATGGGGTGTGGAGGAGAGAGAAACAAGAGAGGCTAGGAAATTGTGTTTAGATTGAGAGGGGATTCACCTCTTTATATACAGTCCTCAGGGCCCCTAGGTATGCTTATCCAATTATGACTCACCATGACTAATAGGAATTTAGGAAATCTGTGAGGTGAGAGAATTAAATCTGACCCATCCATCCCATGAATCAGCCATCATGATTTAGGAAGGAATTTTAGGAACTTTATCCCCAGAATCTTTGACCCCTTCTAGTCAAACTTGGATAAATCTAAAAGAACCTTCTAGAACTTCCTTCATTTCTTTTAAAAATTATAGGAAGCTAAAAACAAATATTTTGGTGAAAGAATATTTCAAATAACTGACTCCCACAAAAGCAGGATACAATATTCTTTTAAAAGATTTGCTTTTAACCAACAAAAACCTATTTAACAAAGATAAGAAATAAACAAGTGGACACGGGCATGCCACCTCATGTTGACGTGTGGGCCCCATGGGCTCCATGCCCTACTCATGTGGTGTGGCACACATGTGGTATGGATACAAAAGCTCCACATGTACCCCACCACACTACAAAAATGGTCAGAAATAGCCTTTTCAAGGAATTTACAGCCAAAATTAATTTTAAAAATTCTGAAAAATTTCTAAAATTCACAAAAATATTTCTTTCACAAAAAATAAAATATCTAGACGTGGACTGGTACTAATGGGTTAAGTGACTATCAGGGCATTCCACCGGACCAAGTAATTGTGATCCTCAATTGTCTTCTTAAACCAACCCAATCCCACAGTTTCATGCAGGGGCGTACATCCATGCATAGGAGACCATACAACTCTCCTGGCTTACAAACAATCCCTGGGCATCTCTTCGGCCCCAATAAGGGATGACCCTATATAAAACACTCTCGATAGTGGACTTGCTTAGAGCCATAGATCGCCTAACCCTTGGTCAGTCACCAAACACACACTTGATATGTATAGTCCATTATAAATGATATTACATACTTTCACGGCCTTTACAGGTCACACACCTTCATCATTTCAAAATCTAATCAAATGACTCATTTGGCTTATTTAAAGGGGGATCTGCCCATAATTGAATTCAATCCTTCCTCTTGATAAATCCTTGTGTAGGTGGGACAACATTTTCCATTTCTAATAATCTGGTTGGAAATAGGTCATGCGTTGAGTGTTCCTTTCCTCTTCTTTTTCCTTCATCAAAATGACCTGAATCTAGATGTTTAGGTTTCATAATCCCTTGGGAACAAAATGTTTCATCAAAATCTCCAATGGCAGTTGGAGGAGAGTTTTTTTTTTTGGCTTTTTTTTTTGTTTGGGGTGGGGGGGGGGGTGGGAGGGTATGTCTGCATTTGTGTGTTCTAAGGAACCAAAAATCTAACAACCCTCTTCTTTGTCTAAAGAGCTCTTGGCATATTAATTACAGAAACTCTTTACCTATTTGGTGAATGGGAACACCTTATTTCTCCCTCGTGCTTAATGCCTCCCACATAAAAAGTTATGTAGGGAATTGAAGAACATAAAAAACGACGACAATTTAGGCCAAACACAAGCAATTTCTAGGAGAAACCTTGGGTTTCTCCCTTAACTCAAGCTAGGGTTTCAAGTTGGAGAACTTTCTTTGTTGGAAATCACGTGGAATGACCCCTCTAGGCCCCACGCACCTCTTATATAAAATGACCCAAAGGTCCTAACTCAATTGACTTTTAAAATAAATGACCCTTATATTGAATAAAAATGCCTAGACAGTCCCCAACTGGTCCAAAAAATAGAAGCAATTTAAAATAGCTGAAAATAGCCCTAAACTAACTTGAAAATCATCACAAGCAATGCTTGCTCTTTTTGTTCTTCTTGGTAACCCTCTTAGGGTTCACATCCTTTAAATATATGCGAGAATGGGAGGAATTTGCTGCTCCCAGGAAATTCTACTGGCAGACCTTGCCTCGATGGGGACCTTTGTAGAAGCAACAGCCCAAGAAGTCCTTGATCACTATCTTGCCAGAAGACTCCCTCTTAAGCTGCCCTTCTGCCTATGGCTTGGGTTCCCGAACAGCCTTAGTCCTTACGACGAGGCATTGAGCTGTAATTAACAAGGCTCTCGAGGTCCTTATCGCTCGACGTGTTAGTTCCACCTAAGCCCATGGCTGCAACCCAACCATGAGATTGAAGAGCTGGTCCTCCTCAACATATTCTTATGTTGAACATGAGGCTTGAGAACTGCTTCATGTACTCTCTCACAGGTCGTCGTGTGCTTACGCTTTTGCAATGCCTCCCTTGCCATCAAGGGTCCATTTCCAAACATGAATTGCTCCAACTCTCTTTTGTGGTGCACAACATGTGTCCTCCACCAAAGCTTGGCATCTATGGTGAGGTACATAGTGATGAGGGTCACTCGGTCCTTCTGTTAGGCATGAGCAGCTGAAAGTAATGCTCCATGTCTTAGAGGAAGTTCTGCTACTTCTTGGCACTTTTGGCTCCACTGAATGTTTTAGGCTCTAGCATTTGAACCCTTATGGTTCCATGACACTTAGGCAATTGGTCAAAACACGTCTTGAGGATTTCTGTGAACATGTTTGTCAAGGCAGCAACATCAGCCACTAGGTCCTCATACGGGTTTCCCAAGCGCTGCTGTGCTCCTCATGGGGTGCCACCCATTCCCTCAAGTTGGGTAGAAAGCCTCTACACTCTTCCATGGATGTGACTCGAGCCACCAATTGATCCATATGATCGAGTCGCTCTTGTATCTCAGCCCTGCGTTCAGTCATCGTTGGTGGCATCTTTTAGGGTAGGGTGAGCCTCTTCTCTGTTTTCATCTTGTCGTGGGGCATCTACTTTTTGTTAACATAGCAGTGCAGCCTTAGCTCCAAGCCTGAACTCTTGAGTCAAGTTCAGCCTCTACACCTGACACTACAAACAAGCATGTATAGGGACACCACAGTTCTAAGGGCCACGCGCCAATTTTATTGCTCGCTTTCCAACTCACTGCGTTGTTGTGTGCTGGCCTAGCTGTGGGGTCTAGGCCCCTGCTCCTTGTCATGCACCACATTTGCCTTGTTCGCCTTGGCCAACAGCTCTACCCATGGCTTGTCCACTCCCCCCAAATAGGAATGTTGGTGTAATAAAATAGCTCATCAAAAGTGGCAGCTCCATATTCTTAAGTTGCAGTGTTGCACATGTGCATCGCGGTGCATGTTGGGTGGTCACTCTCTTTGGTCGGCTGGGTCTTGGGAGGTTTCTTGCCTCCACCGTCAACCAACACATGCATCGAGTTGGGGGTCTGATAAGCCTCCCCTACTAAGAGAAAGCCTTGTCTTTATTGGGGTTCTAGCTAGGAACTCTTGAACTTGACCCTCGTACTCTCATAGGGTCGCGTCTCTCCCTACTAGCCTTCTCATCTAGTAAGCCCTTCCACTTGACTAGAAACTCCACCCTTCAATTTTCTTGCTTTGTCGCAACACTCATCTATCCGAGATTGCCATGACTTCAAACGTGAATTGTGTCCTCACTTTTGGTGGCACTCGAACTCTTTGAACCTTGGTCTCGTCCAAATCGCAATGATAGGGCTTCAGGAAGCAGAAATGGAACACTTGTTGCACCTTGATCTAGTCAGGTAGAGGCAATTGATATGCCAACTCCCCTATTCAACCTGTTCGCCACAAAGGGCCATCGTACCTCTTAATCATGCCACACTACACTATCTTGATGTTGATCTTCTTCCAAATCTGGGTCGTGAGCTTGTGCACCTTGATCTAGTCAGGTAGAGGCAAGTGATAGGCCAACTCCCCTATTCACCTGTTCACCTCAAAGGGCCATCTTACCTCTTAATCATGCCACACTACACTATCTTGATGTTGATCTTCTTCCTAATCTGGGTTGTGAGCTTGAGCATCATCTAATCCTTGACCTTCAACTCAGGACGGTATCATACTTCTTCGTCCATCTAACCTCCTGATCGAGCTAGTCACGTGCTTCTTCAAGTTGCTCAACTCGTCTTAGCCAATCTCAATGTTGTTGGGCACTGTGATTGGCCCTGCTGTAGGTTACACCATGTGGCGTAGGGGTTGACGCTTGTGGCTAGTTTGGAGGCACTCTTCCCCGTCGACAAGCTAAGGTGCAAGTTGTAGCAAACCTAGGTGAAGTTTAGTAGGCTGACATAATTGTGTTGGTTTGCAGACACGTAATGCTGAAGATATACGTCCAAGATTTCATTTAGCCTCTCAATCTGCCCTTTTGTCTGAGGGTGTTTGCTGGTAGAAAAGTACAACTTCATTCTTGTTAGCTCAAACACGTGTTGCTAGAACCTTCTCGCGAATTAGGCATCTTGAATGCTCACGATGTCATCCGACACTCCCCACCATTTCTCCTCATGGGTGAGGACCAACTATGCTTCTTTCTCAACACTCTAGTGGTTAGAAGCTGCAATGAAGGTTGCATACTTTGAAATGTTGTCAACTACCACCATGATTTGGCTCATGCCATTGGGATAGTTGACAACTTAGTTAGAGAAGGCATTATGTTCCCCTCTTTTGTAATTTGAAACTATCTTACTTTGGTCAACAGACGCTTCACTAGCTGCGTCTAGTGTTTCTTTCCCTTTTTTTCTATCATGTTCAACTACTTATATCCTACTTAATTGTATCTATGAAGTTCTATTATGAGTGAAACATGGTTCACCTTTCTAGAAGCTCTTTTTATATTGGGTATATGTTTAGTTGTACACGTATGTGCTTGTGTAGTTTTGACCTTTTCCTTTATGTTCAAATCTGCTTCTGATAAAATATATGTTCAGAATAATGTCATCAAGAGTGGACGGAGCTTGGCCAGTTTGGGTGGTGGATGGTGAACGGGGCTTGCAACCTGCCTGTTGATCAAAACTGGTTAGAACTAGTGAAAACCGGTTATTTTTTTCCTGATTTGATTGACCAATAAACCAACCATTCGATCCAGCTTGGACTATGATGGTGCTCACCAATTTGATGATTGGTCCTATACTGAAAAGATTGGCTTAGAATGCCTCTATCTTAATATTTTCGCGTTGCATGTGAAGAAATACTCTCTGCGTTTGTCGTTTGTTATGTTGGGTGTCTTCTTGGGGATGGACCATGTAATCTCTTGGGATCTCTCTATTGGTGACAGGGGCTATTGGGAATCTCTTTTAGTTCATCATCATCATTAGCATCATCTAAGCCTTATCCCCAACTTTTTTGGGTCGGTTACATGAATCCTATTCCGCCGTTTTGCTCATAGGTTCAGGATTCATGACAAGATTTGGTGAAGATTTATTGCCCTACCTAACACAACCCTCCTCTTTTACCCAGGCTTGGGACTTGCATAGCCGGCTTGGGAACAGCCAAGGCAGAGTTATGTCGAGTTAGAATAATTTCTAAAAGAACTCAGTTATAGCATTGCTCACCTCTGCCTTTCCATTCCTCCTCCTACTCTCAACCACAATATTGTTTGTCTTGTTATTCCTTTTCTGAGCATTTACAATCTTTTAGTTACAGTCTTATATATGTCACATGTAGTTCTGTATTCAATCTGATCTAAATTGTACTTGTAATTATGTGTGACTTTATTTTTCTTGGACCTCCAGGTAGAGAAAGCCCATAATGCTGATCTTCACTGTGTTGATTGGAACCCTCATGATGAGAATCTTATCTTAACTGGGTATGTGGTATTTCATCATTTGCTTCTTTCAATCAATGCAGTTTTCTGAGTGTTTTTATAACTCGTCAATTTGACTTGGAGCTCACAAAAGTCGAATTGCCTTGGCACCCTGGTGACTCTTTTGCTTTGTCATGAGACTCGCTCAAGTCGTGCCTTCCCTGCTGGTTAGTAAATAGATTCAAGTTTCTACTTGGAATGACTTGGCTCATGGCCCTCACAAATCTCTAGTCAAGTTAGACATTCAAATGTTGGTTTTTCTTTTTCCATTTATTGAGGACCATGATCTTAGAGATTGGTTTCTTGTGCTGGGGATGGGCGGATTGAGTCTCATTTCTTAATGCATTTTTACCCTTTGATCCAATTTTATTTATTGATAAACATGTAACCTTTTGTTGGGAATTTTATAATCTGCAGTACGGCTGTTTGTTGCTGTGTTAATGGTTTTATATCCTTCTGTCGTAAATAGTTGGAAATGGCAGTTCTATCTGTCCTTTGAATGTGGTTTTTCTTCAGATTTTTTTTTTTTTTGGAACATGCAGTTCAATCCTTAATAAAAAGATCAAGATACTCAGATCAAGTTGTAGCAAATCATACCATGTGAACTTGTCTACAGTGGCTTGGGTTATTTTGATGTGTTCTAATCCTAGCAATACTCGATGATATTAACAAATTTGAAGAATTATTTAAGTTGAAAGATAGGTGATATCTGAAAATGAACTTTGATAAAATAATGTTAGTACAGATTGGAAGTAGAAAAATGGGAAAATATCTCATAGACCCCCTTAAAATTTTCATTATTTCATAATAATACTACCCTTTTTGATGACATTAAAAAAGCATGAAAAGTATCATCCAACTCCCTGATCACATCCCTCATTTTATTTTTATATCTTTATCCTTATGAATTGCCCTCTTTAATGTCCTTTATCCGATTTAAGTCCTTTCTCTCGCTCCTCTCTTTTAACCTAGTAATTTGGCCCTTTCAACTTAATATTGGTCTTCCGACACACAGAGTCTCTCTGGCCCTTCTCGTTACTGACCGAGAAGTGGGGACCTCTCAAGGATTTATAGGAGTTTGTAAATAGTTTCGCTTGAAATATTCAGTTATGAACCTCTCAAGGATTTTAGTTTGTTGGTATCACAAATCCAAAATTTACCTTGCATTGCAATGAACACCTATCACTAGTTGTAGAATTGATTTTTCATGCCATTAAAATCAGTATGAGTTTTCTTGTTTTGGGTCCTCTATGCTCCTTGGGGTGTTCTTGAATTTGCAACTGATTGTTACAGGTAGCCTTCGAAGTATGTAGCTTTTCACTTGTATATCTGTTTGGGTGATCTAAAGCTTAAATTTTGAGTTTCTTCAGGATTTACAGCCCTATCTCTATAATTTTCTGTAATTTGGATATTTCAGTCTTTAAATTGTGGTTGGAAGTCTGCTGTAAAAATTAGTGAGAAATTTTATTTGTCTAAGTGTTTCAGGTTTCTTTCTTTTTGTTATTTAATTGGTTTTTAATTTTATTTAGGTTATTGGGTTCCTAGAAAATAAGGTTCCAATCCTAGTTCACTTAGCAACCTTTGGGTTAAGGTAGTTGCTAGATTCTTTAGGAATTTGATTTCTTTGCTTTCAAGGGTTGAAGTATGCGACATTGGAAAACTCTCAATAAATGCCCATGAGGGTATCTATTTAGTGTTCTCCTTAGGTGGTGCATGACGATCTTTGGAAGAGTGACTTTTTTTTTTTTGAAAAAAGAGTGATTCTAGAATTTTAGCTTAAATTTGGGTGTGTCTCCCCAACTGTTAGAGCCTTCTCATTTTCCATTTTTGTGGCACATCCTCCTCTAAGATCTCCCACAACCAAAGTCGTGCCTTTACAAAAATCCTTTTGTAAACCCGATTCCCTTGCTATACCTCTCCAAACCCTAGGTTAGCTTTCTCAAAAGCTACCTGAACCGTGGGTTTCAAACTTAAGTCGAACCCTAGATTCACCCTAAACCCTAAATATGTTTTGTCATCCTCCTGAAAGGAGTGGTTATGTGGCACTCAAGGTATTAAATTTAAAAATTTTATTTTCTTTTATTCAATATACCTAAATTCTGTTTCTTCAAAAAAAATATACCTAAATTCCACTTACATGGGCCATTATAAATTGCTGCAAATTAAATTTAAAACCCTAAATAGAACCTAGGATCTTTACTTTTACTGCCAAAGCAAATAATAGCCATCTAGGAGCAATAACTAATATTCCACTATAATTTTAAGTACAATAAGTGTTCATGGAAATTCACAGAAAATTTAAAATATGATTGAAAAATAATTAAATCAATTGGGAAGCCTTACTAGAAGATGTTTTGAATTACCTTCACAGGTCTTGATACACCCCACACCCGATTCCCTGATCGGTGGCGCACTTTTAGTCCTTTACGTGTTGCTGGAAATTCAGAGATGGCTTTCATAGGCAAAATCTCTTAGTCTTAAGGTTTTAAAGAGCATGAAAACCTAACTAGGGTTTGTAAGAACCCTTAGGAACAAATTAAGGTTGGGCTTGAAAGCATAAAATCTTCCTGTGGTTGGGCATACGCTATTTTTCTTCTCCAAACAGCAAATCCCTAATTAGGGTTTCAATGTGCCACCTTTGTCTTATCAAATTTTGGGTCGCATGACCCTTTCTGGAAGGAGGGAGTGAGAAAAACAATTTTTTTAATGAAAGAGCAAGAGAGAGAGAAAGATTTGGTGCATAAAGGAGAGAGAAAATGTGTCTTGAGAGAAAGGGGCTCAACTTCTTTCCAATTTATTGGGGTCGTCTACATGAATCCTGGTTCTCCATTCTACTCTATTAAGTGAGTCCTTAAGTCTCCATATTTTTTCAAACTACTTCCAACCACCTTTTTTTGGGCCTACTCCTGGCCCTTTTCAGTTCTTCCACTTGAACTAATTCGCATCTCCTAACAGGTGTTGTACTTGGTTGGTGCCACACATTGCCAGCCCACCTAAGTCTACTATCTATCATTTTATCGATTATTGGTGCCACGTCTAAATTCTCTCGAATAGATTCATTAAAATTAAAATAATATTTTACGTTAACAAAAAAGGAATGTCACATAAATAAAAGGAGGGTGTGCCTCCCAAGAGAGATTTAGTGGTCCCCACAATGGCCCATGTCTCATGGGTGGTACATATGTGGGGTTGGATCCTGGGCATCACATGTGCCCTTCCAAACTCTAAAAATTATGAAAATGCCCTTTTGGAGGAGTTTACAGCAGAAATAAACTTTTAAAATTACGAAACTTTGTAAAACAATCATAAAAACATTTGTAATGCCAAAATAAAATATTTTAGATGTGGACTGGTACCAATGAGTCGAAATTGACGACAGTGAGGGCACTCTACTTGACCCAAGAACCATGATCCACTATTGTTTTCTTGTCCAACTCAACAAAGACTTATGACCTACAGTCTCAATTTAGAGGATCATGATTGGCTTGTCAAAGTTGGGCAGTAACTAGTGGAATAAAATGTGGATTTCAGCCCCCCCTTTTTAAGAGTAAATCCTACACTTTTCACCTCAGTACAACTCTATCAGTGCAAATCTATCTATGCACATGTACACGTGTCCCTCGATAGGCTTGCTTCCTATTAATACGGTTGTCATGTGTGCATGTTGTGCAGAAGGTTGTTGAGGTTTTGACCCTTGCTCTCACATGCCTACAATCTCACACAGGTGACCACACAGTACTCCTGGGTTACAAACATCATCCCTGGGCATGTTTCTAACCTCAACAAAGGATGACTCATTGTAAATCCTTCTCGGTAGTGCCACATGCCTAGGGTTAAAGGTTTTGGACATAACCAGGGCCATAAACCGCCCAACCCATACTCAGTTAACACACGCACACACTCACGGAAATGCATATTCCATTATAAATTATCATTTTTACAAGCTCTCTAGGCCTTTAAAGGCCCTAAAATCCAACACCTCATGTCTTATTGGACTGAAAAATTCAAGCGAGAACGCTTTCATAAACCTTAAAATGTATCTTAAGCCTTGGCCTAAATTCCAGCAAGAGCCCAAAAGCCTGCTGTTAGGATTTTGAAACCCTTAAGAACTCCTAAATCCTAACTTAACCAGGATTCCTATTCGTGCCAAAACCTTTCTTTTCGTGTATGTCTCGCATGTCACACTGGTGTAGGAGCCAAGCTCCCTTGGTCCTACATCAGTTTTTGTACCAGAGCATGAGTTTGAATCACCGATTATTGAATTAGTCGGCAGTTCTATTGATAATGAAGCATTATATATGAGAGTGGGAAAAGCTGATCCTGAGATGCTGGTGGCATGTTGTTTGTTACGGAGTTAATTATTACAGGTTTAATTTTATTAAAACGGTGGCTGTATTTTCAGTTAGGAACTAAGCTATTGTAGACGTTTCCACCTGATTTTGAGTGGTGGATGTGGGTGGGCATCATTGATAGCTTTGGGAAATTATGTCATAAAATTTGATTAAAGTCATTTGGTTTAATACAACCTTGTGACACGAATCTATACTATTAATAGTTGAAATCCTTTAAGCTTTTAGGCTTGTTACACATTTTAGATGTCATTCATGATGGTTCATGCCCAACTTGCGTATTGCTATTCGGAAAAAAAAAAAAAAAAAAAATCATGCCCAACTTGCTTGAGATAAAAGCGTAGTCGAGGTTTCCTAATGGCCTTTGTTATAATATCTGCTAGTTGGTCTTCTCTCTTCACATTAGGAAGACAAATTTCTCTAGTAGCAACTCGTTGTCTCATTAAATGGCGCCTTGTCCCTCTATGCTTGGTTTGATCATGCTGGACCGTATTGTGAGGTATACTAATGGTGGCCTTGTTATCACAATATAAGGACATTGATCCCTTTACAGAAAAACCAAGCTCTCGTAATTGGATTTAACCTGCAATATCTCACATGCTGTGCTTCTGCACTTGAACGCGCTACAATTGACTTTTTTTACTCCTCCAAGTC